GACTAGAAATAACGGTCACAAGCTGGCAGAGGGTCAATTCCAGCTAGACATCAGGAGGCGCTACTTCACTGTCATGGCAGCTGGGATCTGGAACCAACTTCCAAGAGAAGTGGTGCTTACTCCTACCCTGGGGGTCTTTAAGAGGAGGCTAGCTGAACACCTTGCCAGGGTCATTTGACCCCAGTACATTTTCCTGCCATGGCAGGGGGTCGGACTAGATGATCTGCTCAGGTCCCTTCTGACCCTACCAACTATGAAACTATGAACGTGGTATCAGCCTTAACCAATTTGGATCAAACCGCTTTATGCAATGTCTGTTCTAGACCCCTTCCTAGTTTAAGTTAAACCAGAGTCCCCCAGCATCCTGGCGTGGTCTCTGGGCTGGGTGGGGCTGTCTGCTGGAGCACAGCAGGATTGGCCTGCACCTCTCCTTCCTAGCCAGAGCACTATCACTGCTCGTGATAGATTTCCCTGCCAGATTTCCCCCTTCTCCCCATCCCTCTCCCCCTCCCTGCTGGCTGCTCAAGCAGGGATCCTCCCTCCTGCTCCTCTCCCGTGGCAGAGACCCCAGCACAGGGATCTGGCATCTGGCCATGCCCCCCTTCCTGCACCCCAATGTCAGCTACTGCTCAGATGTGCCTGTGTGGGTCTCCCAATTTCACTAGAATAAAGGCAGACAGTGAGTGGCTTGCAAATGCAAATGCACCCTGCAGATAAGAAGAGGTTGAAAGTAAATGAGGCTTGATGGGCTGATAAACTGGCTGCAATCTGTCAGTCTTCAAGTAGGGACAGAGAAAGGTGTTAAAAATTGTCTGGTTTGCTGACAGAGTCTGAAGAAGCAGGGAGACAGACATTGAAAAGCTCAGTATCAATAGATACAGGGTCTGGCAACATTCCCACCCCTTAAACAGCAAGCAAGGCAAAGCCTGGGACTGGTGCAGGCAGGGTGGGGGTTTACACCCCTCCCTAATCAGAGTGCCCTGCCGGGGCTTGGCCACTCTCTCCCCTCAGCTCAGCAGTGTGGAATGAAAGGGAGGACTGTCAGCGCCCCCTTCCCTGGCTTCTAGCCTAAGCCACTGTAGGCATATGCCTGCAGGTCTGGGATGTCTGTACAGTTACAAACTGATTCAGCCTAGCCAGGTTAGACTAACCTGCAAAGACTGAATCAGTTCAAGCTCAGACTTTTTAAAATTTGTCTATCCCTAGTCCTTAAGCACAACTCAAAGGGTCTTTTCAATCAAGCACCTGCAGGACTCTGATTATCACTAACTTAGAGCTGTTCGGTACAGCATCAGAAGTGGGAAGGAAGTTGTTTATGCTACCCAGGCTCTTAGTCATGACGTGTTTTAGATATTCTTATTTTAGTAGGTATTTCACTTTCAGCCAGACATGACTGTAATCTTCCTAAAAAGTATACAAAATGCTTACAAAGCACCTTGCAGAATCAGTGGGTGGTGAAGAGTGTATTTATATCTCTGTAAAAGTGTGTGTCAACATGCCATTATAAAACAGACAGATCAAAGTATATTTCACTTTCTAAAAAAACAATGCCAGCTAAAAGAACTCAATTCAAGTATAGGTTTTTAGTTTTGTTTATATTATTTGTCTTTTTTGTGGAAATGTTAAGTCTCACAAGTTTTAATGCATTGTTTCTGTAACATAGAATAAGATCTCTCCAGAACTGTTGCAATCACCTACCCTAGAAGTCTTCAAAAGGAGACTAGACAGTCACCTTGCTGGGGTCACCTGACCCCCACTTATCTTTCCTGCTTGGTGCAGGGGGCTGGACCCGATCACTTTCTGAAGTCCCTTCCAGCCTTACAACTGACAAATATGCACATTCTGCATTATAACCATAAACCTTCCCTAAGGATTATTAGGCAGCATTAATACCTTTGCTTGTCACTTGATTTAAAAATCCCAACACGGGTACTGAAGAGTCACCACTCGTCACAACTATGATATGTTAATAATGAAGCATTTCTCAATCCACTGCAGTTTACAGATACCTTTGAATTTAATTAACATATTCAGCCCAAACTCTGACTTAACCATTCAAGTTATGCAAAGGGAAAAAAATAAAAGGAAAAATTTACAGGTTAATTAACATTCACGCAGACTACAATTCATTGTACCTTTCCATTCTAAACTACCATCAAGCCATCTAAAACTTCAGGAAAAAGGATTAATCGTATAATGGTATTTTTGAGATGCTTTATCTAAATGTTCATTTTAAAACTCCAGATAAAAGTATCAGGGCAACAGAGGTCCTACTAAAAAACAGTTCAATACCATTATTACCATTTCCACAATATTAAATTCTTTATCTATATTTTTTTGCTGTGCAAAATAGTTGTTTTTTTTTTTGCCCTAGCTAGATAACCTTTTACACTTCACAACAAAGGGCCTTTGAGGTGCCCATCTGTTCTTTTGAAGTTAAGTGCAAGTACAACTACTCTTTAATCAGCTGCTGAGAACAGACCTCATTGCCTATGTAAGAATTAGGTTTTTTTTACAGTCAGATGTTAGCAGATATGCTAATATTTGAAATTGTTAAATAAGCATTCATGAAACAAGGCTAGATTAGAATAAAAAGACTTAAAACTAATTATTAAAGCTTTTGTACTAAACTGGTGAGCCAAATAAAGGTTTACAGCTCCATTTAC